TTAAAAGTATAAAGAAACAATTGTTATTTTTTGATATTCAAATTAATTGTTTCATCTTGAATTAAAATTTGTAAATTAAAACTATTTACATTTATCTGGTTTTGACATCTATCGGCGCTCTGAGTGTTAGCGTTAACACGTCACGTGACCATGTCGATGACGACTTGCATGAATTTACTCCCATCCAAACCTGCCAATAGAAGTTTTCACTTCAAAAATCAAAAACATTTATTTATAATAAATACCCTTAAAACAAAACAGTTCCAAACAAGGAAATCATTTAGACATTAGACAACCCTAATAAGGCTAAGGGTCCCGCCAAGGTTCGCAATAGTTGTAAAATTTTAATTATTTCTATAAAGTCAGTCTGTGATGGAACTTTATCGTCATAGTAGTTTTGACGTTCAATATTATATGCATTTATGTCATAATTTAGTTTCTGTTATAAATCTTCTGGGATAAGATTTATGTAGGAGATAAAATAGATCCATTTGTAACTAACACAGATTGTTCCAAAATGTTATTTTAGGACGGTTTAGACACTACAACTTATTTGGCACAAATTAAAAAAAAGTTTAACAATTAGCAAGAGCACTATACAATAAAAAAAATGTGTTATAAAATATTAATTTCTAGTTTAGTAAAAGTGGCGTAAATTAAAGTAGTATTAGTTTACTGACCTATTTGTATCTATCTATGACTTGTGTTGAGATAGAGAACAGTTAAAAATCGAAGTATACTTGAAGTAGGTAATGTATGTCTAGTATTTCATGATATACTTTGCATGCTATTTAGACTTATTTTATCCATTAAAAAAGTATGCTGCAATAGCATCATATTTTTATCTATACTAATATTATAAAGAGGTAAAGTTTGTGAGTTTGTGACGTTGTAGGGGGTAATCTCTGGACCTGCTGAACCGATTTTCAAAATTCTTTTACCAATAGAAAGCCACGTTCTTTCTGAGTGTCATAGGCTATATATTAACCCGAAGAATGAAAAGGCTTTTTCGTGGTAGTCGGATTTGCAAAGTCGGAGAAAAAACGGTCGAACGAAAACGTTTCTTACGAACGCTGCCTTAACGATGAGAGATATATGATTATGTTCTAGAGAAAAGTTGTAGAGCTTAATAATGCCTACAAAAAAGTCAGCGACAGCATATGTCTAACTTTTATATTTAAGTCACAAAAAGTAGTTTGTTATATTAAAAAAATAATTTAAATCGGTAGGTCATGTTTATTGGTCATATTATCAACAATTATGAATTTTTATCAAAATAAGTAAGTAAATTTATCGTCTAAAATGTTTAAAATAAAAGACTTTTCCCTTTTACTGCATATAATTTAGACAAATGGTTAAAGAGATAATACAACATATTCGTATGTATGGACGAACCTGAGCGAGCTGTTTATCTGTTTTTCTCTTTGTACGGGCTAATCTCCGGATCTATTGGACCTATTTAAATGAAATTTTGCATGGTGGTACCTTATATCCCCAGGCAACATCTTAGATACTTTTCATCCCGGAAAATTAAAGAGTTCCCGTGGGATAGTTAAAAAACTATAACAACTTATACAGCTTAGTACACAAAAACTACTGATTGGATTTTAATGAAACTTTACAATAATATAGTTCATACATGACAAAAACAAATCAGCTACTTTTCATTCCGGAAAATTAAAGAGTTCCCGTGGGATAGTTAAAAAATTATAGTAACTTATACAGCTCAGTACACAACAACTTATGCACCTAATTTAGTAAAATTTGGCATGCTGATACCTTATATTGCAGGTCAAATAACAGGTTACTTATTTTATTTTATTTATTTTATTTTTATCTCGGAAAAATGAACGGTTCCCGTGGGATAGATCTGTTTGTGCTTTTCTAGAGGTGAACCCGAGCAAAGAGAGGGTGAGCCGCTAGTGTATAATAAAGCAAATAAAAAAATATTATATTATAGGCGTAAAAAAATAATTACCTAGCATCAATATGTAATGTATCTTTAAAAAAATCACATAAAATTATATTTACAAAATTATATGTACATGTTGTATAATATATATTTAAATAAATATTATAAATGTGAAAGTTTGTGAGTATGTATAAATGTTTGTTACTCTTTCATGCCAGAACGGCTTAACGGATCTGGATGAAATTTGGCACAGAAATAGATTATAGTTGTGAATAACATATAGGCTTTTTATACAGAAAGTAACTAAATATACCGTTCTCGAGGGATGTCTGTTTCTAGAGGCAAACCCAAACAAAGTGAGGGTGAGCAGCTAGTAATTAATAATTTATAGGCACAAGTGATAGTCACATTAAAATTAATAATGCCTTTTATGTAAGCAAACGGTGTGATTATTACTTTTTAACACTAAAATTTCAATAGAATCAAGTATAATTCTCACTATTAAGTATAATTCACATAAACTTAAGCTATAATATATCAACATACTATCCAGATGAGTGAAGCCATAGACAAAGGCTAGTGATAAATGAAATTGAAAATTATACTTCAATGTCTCATGGCCGGGACATAGGAATAATCCGAAATGGGACGTCCCACCTTGCATTAACAGATGCAATATCAGCATCTGTTGCACTCGGATCGCTTTATTATTTTTCCTTCCCATTGAATATGTGTCACAAATACATATGCATTAGTAATAACAAACGCGAGTTGTTATACAATGTTATTTAAAACACTTTTTTTAAAGAACATAAAAACTAGCTACCTACATTATTAGTTCACATGAAATGCTGTAAAAATTTTATTTTGAAAATTCATTTCACAATAAGTAAAAATGAGGTTTCATATAAATATATGACAATAATTATTTTCGAATTTCACATTTTGTACTTATTAATATAAAATAATATTTTAATTTTTGGGTAAATTATTTTCTTTTTTTTTAATATGTGTTAAATAGATAATTAAAATATGTGGATAAATAATGAGAATTATAGGATTTTATTAATATAATAAATAAAATAGTCATTCAATATAATAAAATTCTCTGTACATTAAATATTTTTTGAACTTTTTTTAGAAATAGTCATTTTTATAGGTCGAATTTATAGCTTTTAGAATTCTTGTCTGTCTGTCTGTCCTGGAATGCGTCACGAGAAAACCACTGGACCTATTTTGATGAAGTTTGATATAATGATAGCTGGTTATTCCGGTCAACATATAGGTTACTTTTTACTGCAGGAAAACATCTTGTCCCTGAGAAATCTATACTAACTGTTAAAATGTACCCTAGTAGAGTGAGGGTGAGTTGCTAGTTTACTATAAAAATAGCAGATGATTCACTTCACACTGACATTACAGTTGTCTGAGATTAAAAGATATTTTTAGAACATTCATGAATAAAATATGTTGTCTTATCACTAACTGGTAAACATTTTATTTTATAGAAACATTGTTTTCTTTAGAGGAAAGTGTGACCAACAATAAGTGTAAAATATAAGACACATTAAAATAATATTTAATTCTGAATAAACTGGAGTTTTTTTTTCTAAATGTTGAGTTTAAGTGACTAAAGATTTAGTAATTTATACAGATAAATAAAATTGAAGAGATTATTGTAATGTCAAAATAACAGCTGTTTACTAAATGCACATGAAATTATATATGCTGTCTATAAAAAAACACAGCTTTTAAAATTTTTATCTGTCCATCAGTCTATCTGTTTGTTCCCGCTAATCTCTAAAACAGCTGTACTGATTTTGACGGGACATCACTGGCAGATAGCTGATGACATTAGGAGTAACTTAGTTTACTTTAATTTTAGAAAAAGAATTACGGTTCCACTCAAAAAATTAAAACATACCTATGGAAGCACCCGAGCGAAGCAAAGTCACAAGTTGATAATATTATAAATGTGAAAGTGTTGATAATATTATAAAAGCGATATGTAATATATAAAAAAATATTCATATACATATATTGCAAAGATCAATATTTACATAGGATAAATAGTAATATTTGTATAAATAATTATTATGCTGTTATTTAGTACATATTTTAGTAATTAGTATATCAAATAACAATTTAATATAACATATTGTTTATTATAATGTATAAACATTTGATATAAGTTTATTTCTTTATAATCTTTAAAGAAACTGATAATGACAGAGTCTATCAATCAGAATGTTGGTTTGTTAGGGAGATTACATTATACAAGTTCTCAACAAAATTATTAAAAGTTGTATTAATTACTCTACATTATTGTTTATCTCTTTCATATTACTTAAACTTATTTATTTAAAAAATTTATTTTAAGCGTGCCAAAAAGAAAATGTGTGGATTCTATATAGATAAATAAAACTGTAAGAGAGTAAAACTAAGGACAACAGCCAATATTATCAACTCATTACATTGATAATCCTAATTATTTTGCTAACTATTATTTCTCATCTTTTAGTAGTTCACATCTAGTTATTTTAAAAACAAATGAACCTTACATATTTCCATATTTTTACAGACAACATGTCATGACATAAATGGAAAATATAGTTATTATGACACATTTGTATTGTTATCACTTTGACCATGCATAACTATAAAAGGTAAAATAAATTAATCATCAAATTTAAAATCATTAATTTTCACAGGAAATATTAGGTGTTTATCCTTTAAATTACATTTTAGTGGACTTCAAATGTATGTATATTAATTGTAATAATTATTAATAAAGATAAACAACAGGTTTAATTATAATTATTAATTCATTGGGTTTCTTATAAATAAAAAGATCTCATAGTAATGAAGATTCCACAAGAAACTGATAGAAAGACAATGAATCCAACACGTATCAGTGAATCCAATACCTGCTACATGTAAAAAGAAAGCTTGAAGCGAGTAGGAGGTGACACTTCCAAGTCTTAAATTATCAAGTGAATAAGTCATTGCTAATTATTTATATAAAAAAGATTTTGATATGTTGAGACGTTTCCACAAATACCGATATATTAACACATGCAGAACTAACCAGCAGGTGGGAGTGGCGTTATCCACGGTGTCCTGGTTGGCCTGCGAAGGAGACTCGGCTCCCCGCGCGCCCCCCGCCACTGAGGAAGCCGTGGTGCCGCTGTGCCCGTTCACTGCGCCCACATCATTCACCACACTCTTATTATCTCCACCAAACTGACACCAATTGCATCTCTACCTGAAAACACCACACTAGCTTGCACTTCCAGTATGCACTTAAAACTTCCTTTATTCACTAGAACGACACTCGCGGTAAACACACGGAAGGGTTACGAGAAGGACCCTCTACGATCACGCCCCAAAATCACAAATATATCCCTAAAAATGGCAACCTTCAAAAATAATGACCCGACTCATCTCGCGAGTCCACCATGGTATACTGTAATATTTATAAACTTTCACAAGATAATTATAGACCAGACGTTACTATAAATGTTTGAACATAAGTAAAAGATGAGAAAATAATATTTATAAATAGATTCGGATTATTTTGATACAATTCTATATCAGTCGAACATCACGGCATACACACCCCTGATTCGGGTGGAGTGGATCCTCTTCTGTCCTTAAATACTTTATAATATACAAAATTTAGCACGGATTAGTGAATAAGACTACAATTAAATGACCTACACCCTGATAACTACAAAGACATTTTCGTAGCAATGACAGCGATCCGTATCGGCTTCACAGAACCTACAGAAAAAATCAACATGTCGTCTACTGTAATATTACGAAAAGGTGTTTTATCATTGCATGTTCTGTTGAATAGAGATAAAGGGGCGTGGTCAAGTATAAATTGAGATGATGTAAATGATGTTGACGCTAATTTTAATTTTTTGATTTGAATCGTTATTTTATCCGAAAATTTGTAATAAAATTTAACTATACAATTTAATAGATGTAGGTATTTTACATAGTTGTGTAAATCTTAAATGATCTATAAATTATATTATTTAAAAATTGAAATTAAGAATTTCTATTACATTTTTTTTAACACAATGATCTGATTTCTGATATAATAACTTTGTAAAAGGTATAATATTTGTAACTAAATACAAGTTCTGCAGTAAAATTAGCAGCTAATCTTATTTGGAATTTAATAATATTTTATTTTTTCCCCTGTTACAAGTGATCTAAGTTGTTCATGAATGAAATAACACTTATAGAAATTTATTCTGGACACATATTTGATATTTATTAAAGTTTTATTTTTTTAATTAATCTCTTCAAAAATATTAATATGAGGTATTATCTGTTGTACCTACCAAAGACAATAAAACGCATCAGCTGTGCACTTTTTAATCTAAACTGTCACAATTCACATTGACTTTTGATTTTTGAAATTTGAATTATATTTATTTACGAAAATTAACGCGATACTCTTCCAATTAAATGTTATTTACATTAAATAAAGAATTGAATTGAATGTTATTTGCATTCCATTAGTAAAGTTTTCTCTGAAAACATATATCATGACTACATATAACAAAACACTGAAGTTATTAGCTTCTAAATTAGGTCTCAGCGACGAAGATAAAGTTTTAAAGTGTGTATACTTATCTCTTTACCTTACATTTTTTCGTCAAGTATTCAGATTAATAAGATAACAACGTTCTTATTACAGCAAAGCTGCAGAATTTGAACGTCTGTTACAAACCAAATCAATTGCTGGCAACGTTATGACGGATACAAGTAAAACGGTTATTTGCTTGGATTTGGCTGCGGCTATTTTTGGAGCAGATTTGGATAATGTATGTTTTGTTTGTGTAAAGCACCTCTAATTTTTATTCATTAATTTTTTCATCCCATTTTTACATAATGAATTTTATGAAAATAATTACAGAAAACAGCAATCAAATACTCTGGTTTGAAAGCTCCTACATATGCTAATTGTCGGAAAGTGGTGGAGAACCTTTTAGAACTTAACAGTGATAAACTAACAGTACCACTCCTATGTGTATCATTACAATGTACTGGAATACAATCTTTAGCAGAAAAAATACTTGAAGCATACCAAAGGCTGGCAAAGACTGTAAGGAAATTAAAATAATTTTTATTTATTCTAATGTCTATAAATCTATTTTAATCTTTTATGTTTTTCCATTTTTTGCTAACAAAGTAAAATAATATAAAAATGAATAGGTTAAAAAAGAGAGTTCTTGCAATGAAATCTTTTTTTTCCCCTATATTAAATTGTTTATAATTTGTTGCACTTTTTACTTGTTAAATTGATTAATTTGTTAAGATGATTAATATTTTCTTATTAATTTTTATATATCAAAATTCATTAAATTGGTGCTCCTGTAAAGTTAATAAAATGTCGCTTAAACCAAATAGCCTTTCACCCATCAATATAATTTTTTATGATTATTGTATATTTTGTAGATATAATTTCGTTTATTTTGTAGGTTAATTTATTTAAAGCAGATTTTATTATAGTTTTTTTATTTAATATTTTGCAGGAAATAGATTTAAATTTACCACAATATGTGTGTATGGCTGTATTTCAAGCATGCAGGTATTTGCTTTTTTTAAATTATTTTTTGAAAACTTTAATTGTTATTTAGACATGATAATAATGAAAATATATATTAAATATTATAATTAATACTGATTTTATTTTTAGATTAAACAAGGTCAAAATATCAAAAAGCAAAATTATAGAGAAATCAAGATTAAAACCAGCACAGTGGGCAAAACTTGATGCTGACTGGACAAAAGTTGTAGATGAGAAATTTTCTAATGTAAAGAAAAAAGGTAGAAAACACAAAAATGCTGAAAATATAGGTAAGTCTTTAAATATTTATCATCATCTATCTGATGTCCCAATTACTTGAGGTCGGTGCAGTACATCTTCCGTACTGCTGATAGGATTTGGCAAACCTTACCACCGGCCGCCTGTCTGACATCAACCCTTTTTGGAAATGTTATTGCTACAAATCTTCATATTTTATATGTATATTTTGAATTCCTATTTCTTCCATTGGACTATATAAGTGCAGGATAAGAGTAAACTTATGTGATGTTTGTACATAATCTACACAGCTGTAACTATTTTATAAGTAGCTTTACCTGTAATGGCTAGTCTGAAAGATTGGTATATATTTGATTTCATTTTAATTTTTCATTCATAGCTTCATATCATTTCCATACTTAATGTACATACATAACACTGTACTTTTTGTTTAAAAAAATTTTTTTTCAAGACAAATTGGCGCCAAAAAAAGGTATTTAGATTTTTTTAAATACATAGGTATGAGGAGCCTTATCTGTCGCAATCTATCGAGCCGTTTGGAAGATACGAAGTAATAAAGATATTTACAAACAAACAAACAAACACACATACATACATACATATATACATACATACATACATATATACATACATACATACAAGATACGCGCGAAAAACATAACCCTTCCTTGGCAGTCGAGTAAAAAACAAATTATTTTTTCTATTATAAATTATAATCAATGTGAAAATATTTTGGCTGTAAATCATAAAGCCAAATTATTTTTGCCAGACCTAGATAATAAAAATAATAAATGCAAACGACCTCGAGTGTATGGTAGTGTGTTTTATACATTTTACTCTAAAAAATCTTTTTCATATCCATTCCAGAAGAAAATGTTATGGAGGTAGATACACAAAGTCCTAAGCAAGAGAAACTGACAGAACCACATACAGAACCTTATGACAACTGGAAAAGACGAATGCTCGAAACAGCATATAAAGAACTAAAAGAAATGGAAAAGAAAAAAATAGAATTAGACTATGAGATACGAGAAAGAAAAGACAAATTAAAGGAGTTTACATCACCAAGAAGGTCACCAAGAAAAACTCCTCAAAAATTTTCTCCATATAAAAGCCCTAGAATGCCAGGTAATGGTATTCGACTTTTGTTTCCTAAAGAGCTATAAGGAACTGCACTCTTAATATATTATTTGTTTTCATTTTTGTTTAATATGTTCCACATACATTTAGCCGAAAATGATTAAGCTAATTTAATTTTACTTAACTTACTAAGAAATAAATAAATTAAAAAAAAATACATATGTACAGAAAAACATAGAACTTTTGCAAGTTGGTTAAAAATGAATAGTGACATCCATTAATTAGTGAGGTTTTTTTATCCTGCTCCTTATGAGATTTTGTGTGATGTGAAAAGATCCTATAGCTTATATGAGATGATTAATAAATTATTCATTCGTTATTATTTAATAAATGCCAACTATTTTTTTGTATATTTTTTTATAAGAGTTTCAAACATAGACAGACAAAGGTATTGAATAATCAGTAAACAGAAGAGAGTTATAATTTCCAAGTTTATAAATTATATGCAGTCAATGATAATTTTGAAAAATGATGATTACATTTTTCATGACTTATTTATCATATATAAAAATAAACCTGAAAGTATTTGTTGTGTAGTGTGTATTTGTGCTTTCAAGTCCTATCAAAATCTGTTAAGCTCTTCTCAAGTAATATGTGATTATAAGGGCAATCACTTGTATGAAAGTCTGTAGAGGGGTAACTCAAATATATTTTCTATTATTCTATTATCTCTTTCAAATATGCCATCATACTTATTTTGACGTGACTATTTTTCTCAAACATGCAATTTTGATTGTTGATTTATATTGTAATTTTATCATTTCACTAAATAAATAAATGTGTGACTTTAAAAGTTTTTTTTCTTTAAATATTTGTACTAGTAAATAGTTATGTCATTTAGGAGTCGGACCTCGTGCTATGTTCACAGTTCAGTTCAAAGCAATAAGAGTGGTTTTTGAATATTTAAATCTTAATGATTTTTTAATAGAATCTACATCTTGTTCGAATGAAATTTTGTATTACTTCAAAAAAAGTGAGTACTTAATGTAAGTTTTACTTCGTTGCTTTCTTAGAACATTTAAATAAAAGCTTTGTCTTTTTAAGTGTTTTAACTTTTTTTTAATATATTTTTTTCGTATTATTCGCAGCAAACCTTTTCATTTGATCTTCATGTCATAGGGGTGCATAAAAAAACAACCCGCCATCTTTGGGCGCCCACCATATTGGATTTACAATGACGTCTCTTTGCATATTGTGTTTCGTTCATCAAGTTGTGTATATAGAAAACATCTTGAATACAGACATCATTTCACACCATACCAAAGAACGATTTAAGTAACTTCACACTGTAGCCAATAACGACTAACTTCGTACTGTAGTCTGAATCTGTCGCATCGTAAAATAATTACTCTCATCATTCATTTTTCGTTTTTCATAACGCGCCAAAAGAAGTATAATTACAAAAATACTGCATATGTGAGTCTTTTGTATATCCATGTTAACAATATTTACCCCAATAGAGAATGGATTTATAAATTTATAGAAAAAATCTACTACTGAGGATGAAACATTTATTTTATAGTGATCACTTGAGTTTAAATGTAAGTAAATATTATTATAAAAATATAATAAGAAAGGCTTTTAGACAGAATGATATTTATGAACAACTAGCAGCTTAACCTCGCTTCCTTCTGGTTCGTCCCTAGGTACGTTTTGACGCTTAGTATCGAATAGATTTTTATTTTCGTGAATTTTTCCGATGTTTTAATAATTATTCTGCTATTCGGGGTGAAGACAAATCCAACAAAACAAAGATAATAAAAATCGGTCCAGCAGTTCTCGAGTTACGTGTTGTAAAAACCCCGACTTTCTTATAAATATATAGATATACGCAGCGCTGGATTTACATTAGGGGCACTTAGGGCTATTGCACAGGGCAGCAAAATTCGGATCGATAATACGGCGGCATTTTTTACTATTTTAATACCAACCAACTTAATAAATCAATATGGCCATGACTATGTGAAATAAATCTTACATAATGTCAACGTTTATAGTATTTTACTTTATTATAACTTTATTTACAATAAATACTGAAGCTAATCGAACTAAGAATGCCTCAGAAGAAATTACATTTGATGATCCTAATCGACCATCGTTAGCTTATCCACAATCCTTACCAATTCTTTTTCTGTTTTCCATTCTTCTTATTGGTGTTGTAATAAGGGCTATAATGCTTTGGACAAGTATGTGTGTTCCTTATAGAGTTGTGATGTTTTGTTTAGGAGGTATTTGTGGCTTTTGTGCAAACCGACACCCTGCATTCAAACCGATAGTGCAAATATGCTACTTAGATGTCGACGTACTCCTACTTCTATTTTTGCCAATCATTACCTTCTATACTTCGTACTCAGTGGACTTTCATTCGTTTTGGAGAAGTTTTCCCCAAATTTTATTGGTTGGTGTCCCTGGAGCTCTGTTAACGGCCTTGATAGTGGCCTTTATGGCGTATAATTTGATTGAATCGTCCTGGAATTTTCCTACGGCATTTTTATTTGGGGTGATTTGTTCACCAATATATCCTATGGAAGTTGTGAAACAGCTAAAGGAGATGTCCAAGGGGAAGTATATTAGTGTATTGTTGCTGGGCGAGGGTTTGATAGGGGATGCGACAGCCATGATAGAATTTACAGCTGTCTTTGGTTACTTGGCGTTGGCTATGACTGAGGCCTCGCAAATAACATTACTGCTCCTCCGTTTCGCGGGCGGTGGAGTTTTACTTGGTATTGTTATGGGGAACATAATTTCTATGTTATTAACATTGACATATTATGATTTACTTTGTGTTGTGACGTTGACCTTGGCTGGCTCGTATCTAACGTTTTATATCGGAGAGAAATTTTTCTACGTATCAGGACTATTAGGTACTGTAATAGCTGGTGTCATGGTGAGTAAGAGCAAGTCCACAGTAGCTGCTGATGTTGAACAAATTGCGGCTCATTTCTGGAACATTCTGGCGCATGTAGCTAATACATTGGTATTCACAATGGTTGGGGTGGTTATATTCGAAAAATTGAGTTATGTGATCAGTGTCCGTCAAGTAGCGTTGGTGTTTGTGACCTATACTACGGTGTATTTTTCAAGAATGTTGGTCTATGCCGTAATGACGCCTGTTTTGAGGCATATAGGATATGGAATATCATGGCAACAGTCGTCTGCTTGTGTGTGGGGAGGCTTAAGAGGGCCATTATCGCTTTGCTTAGCTCTCATTGTTCTTCAAACTCCAGCTGTAGCTGATGCTGGAGAGGTAAGGATACTATATGTGATTGCTTAAGTTTCTTTAAAATAAAACCTTACTACTTTGTAACCTCTTTTTAAGATTTTCATCATTCAAACAGCGGGATTAGTCATCGTATCCTTAATGGTAAATGCGACTACAATGCAAAAAGTATTGAAAATCTTAGGCTTAGCAGAAATATCTTTGGCCAAAAAAGCCAATATGACTAATTGTGTCAAACGTATCATGTTAACGCGAGACCGCTGCATTTCCATGCTGAAGATGAATAAGTTTCTTGCGGATGCTAACTGGGATCTAGTACAAGCAGGTTTGTTTCAATGATTAAGTAATCAAATACAATATTAAATTATTATTAATGTCCTTTGGTAAAAAAGTCCTGACTTTAGAATATGGGAATTTATTTCAAAAATTATCTTGACTACGTCGATCAAAAATTACTAGATACACAATTATCGACAAGAAATGCCCTCATCGAATAAGCGCTTATTTGAGCGCGCTTTTAATAGTAGGGGAGCCCAAGAGGGGATTTTCTGTAGTTACTCGAGCGCGGCAGATTAACATAAAAGAGGTTACCTTGCACTCTATTGAGTACTTTCACCATAATATAAGTCTTCTAAATAAAGGGGCGCGTCTAGGGAAGCCGATTAAAATATTTAAAAAATGTTTTGATAAGGTAGAAAAACTAAGGCAAAAATCGACTATAAAGTTTATGATGATTTTTGCCTCTTAGGCTTGTGCAAATCGGCAGATTATTAAATTGGACACTTTTCAGGATGTGACTAGCCTACCACACCTTAATCTGACGGTTTCAAGTATTTCTACCTTATCAAAACATTTTTTAACTATTTTAATCGGCTTCCCTAGACGTGCCCCTTTATATAGAAGACTTATATTGTGGTGAAAGTACTCAATAGAGTGCAAGGTAACCTCTTTTATGTTAATCTGCCGCGCTCGAGTAACTACAGAAAATCCCCTCTTGGGCTCCCCTACTATAATTTAAAACTTTTTTGTGTAAACAACTAGAAGCAATTGCATTTAAGGTACAATTTACATTGTTATATATTTATTTCAACTAGAATAATTACTTAAACACAATTTGTGACAGTTTTAATAGAACTTTTACAAGGGATTGTGTATCTAGTACTTTTTTGATCGATGCTTGATCCCCAGAAATGTGTTAGTTAAAAAACAAGTAAGTTTTTAAAAACTTGTACCTGAGAGAACCTACTTAGTTTTCGACACGTGAAGTGCATCTACCCGCATTTTGGCTAATATGATGGACTGGACTCAGGAATATTGCCTGATTAAGTAGATCAGGCCTTGAAGAATTCATTTTATTTTAACTCTTCATCTTTTACGTACTAAGATAATATATTAATTATTTACAACATAATTTGCTAAGAAAAAAAGCATATTATAGGCACCACAATAAAACATCCATACCAAATACAAATGCGCGATGAAGACAACGATGATGACGCTTACATGGGCTACCGATACACAACTTGCCCAGATTGCGAGAGGGAGATACCTAATGAGCCGACAAAGAAGGAATTTGCGGAAATGATGAGGTTTGAATTTGAAAATGGCGTGCTATGTTAAACATTCATGACGTGATGTGATAGGTACTACCAGTGTAATTGGATGCCGACTTCGGTTATTAAATAATTGTTTGTAAATACATATTGATGCGAATTAGATGGACAGAACTATCAAACACATCACAAATAAAATAAACACAGATATAGATTATATCTGTATATATAAATAGGTATGAAAGACTGTTCATTCGTAAGCACATCACTTGAGAAGGGCTGCGCTGATTTGGTAAATTTGTTTAAGGAAAACTAAATTGGATATGTTACACAGTAATTAAGGAAATTTAAATAAAAAAGTTTTATCTGTACAATTTTTGTATGAACTCTAAGATCTCAAATAAAATTGACATTTGGACAGAAAATCGTCTATTAGATCAGCTATTTAAAACAAAATGTTTCTTTTATCTTTTTAGGGAAGCGAATCAACGTGTTCTAAAAGCAATGAAGATATCATACTGGCGGCAGTATGAACATGGGAAAATTAGTAAAGATGGTGTCAGAACTTTGGTGCAAGCTGTGGAAGTAGCGGCAGACGCAGAAGATGGCAGAGTTAATTTGGACCAATTGGGCACTTTATGGAAACCCAAGGTTGTTTTGTTTTTGCTACAACATTTATTTTCCAGAGATTATATTCATATAAGTAAATTTTTTAAATTTGTATTTCTTACGGAAAATATATTGTAGTATCTAATGGACTTCTAGTAATTGGAACTTAAACTAGTTCAATTTTAGTAGATGAAAATATGTACATATATACTTACTTTTAATTTACTTTTTCTGAATATCCACTTTAATTAATAATGTATGAATTAAAATTAAAAACTTAAAACTTGCCTAAGGTTCACCTTTCTTTTTTACATGCTCTGTAAGATTTGTAGTATTTAATTTTTTCTAAGTTAAAGAGTTTATTGGTATTCGTAAAGGCTTACGCAGTATGGCTTCGTCGTAAATTAGTCGACATGATGATGCCTGAACCAGCTAACGCTCAAGTACCACGCCACCAATGGCGGCAGTGCTGCTACAGACTAGTCTCCAACATGTGGTTTGACGGGTTTATTTACATTATGATACTGTGTAACACTCCAGTTATTTTGTGCGAGGTTCTATTGAAACCTCCGGTTACGTTGGCTGTGATGTATACTATCAAGTCGCTTAATTTGTAAGTGATTTTAATCTTTCTAAGTGATCATCATCATCATTTTTTTTAGGTATATGTGGGTAGTTATAACAAAACATCCACCATTTGTTAAACCTATAGCGTGGTTACAACTATATTTTTTTCACATTCTGTGGGATTGTTTACCCCTCGATAAAGATGGATTTTTAAAGGCAAAAATGGAACTCTTGTAATAATAATAAATTTTATCATGTTCGTCTGTCCACCTGTGGCTGAGAATCCGTATTAATATTATAAATGTGAAAGTTTGTGAGTATGGATGTTTGTTACTCTTTCACGCCAGAACGGCTGAACGGATCTGGATGCTTGGCACAGAGATAGATTATAGTCTGGAATAACACATAGGCTACTTTTTATCCCGGAAAAATGTACGGTACCCGTGGGATAAGTTTGTTTTTGTTTTCCTACTACAACTACACACAAGTAACAATTCTATCTTCATCGTTTTCTCATAAAGTATCATTATTTCCTAACAATCTACATTTTTTCAGATTTTTCTTTATTGTATACGTTTTTGAAATGATAGTCAAAATGTTAGCGTTGACTGTACGTGGTTACTTTAAATCCCACTGGAATAAATTGGATTTTGGCATCATCGTTATGGCCACTGGTGGTAAGTACTCGTATAACAAATAGCAATCTTACTGATTTTATGAATATTAAAGGTTTAGATGTTTGGATGGATGTTTGATACTCAATCACGCCAGAACGGCTTAACGGATCGCGATGAAATTTGGCACAGAGATAGATTATAGTCTCGAATAGCACATAGAAAAATCTACGGTTCTCGTGGGATAGATTTGTTTTTGTTTTTTTAGAGGCGAACCCGAACAAAGCGAGGATGAGCCGCTATTAGTACTATATTTTGTTGAACATTTTTTTTTCGATATTCTTAGATTATTATCTGAGGAAACCTACAACCTGCAAGGTTTCTCGAATACCTTGTAGGTTGCACGGTTCCTATAAAAGCTGTCTTTTTAGACTTTCAGACTTTTTAGTTATATATTTGCATATTTATTGTTCCTATCACATAACTGATTTAAATAAAACTTTTTAAGTGTCAACTTTTCGACGTTTCAACGAAAGCATAGCGACTACTACAGTTTTTTTTAATTGTTTAGTAAGTAGTTTATCTTAAGAGTTTACTCAACATTCGACCAAGTACTTCGAAAATTGTCCACCATACTTCAATATAAAATCAAAATTTACTTTAGTCAAATAAATTTTTACAAGCACTAAATCGTCAATCTTTACTGTAAGTCCGCGAGGAAGCTACCACCGGCTCGTGAGGCAGTTCTGCTTAGAACTACCAGCGAGAAATTATATAATGACATACAAAATAAATATCGTGGTTGGGTTAAATTACTTAATAAATTCCGATTTTTAGATCTTGTTTTGGATGTGATAGATGCTCTGACGCCGTGGGATAAATGGAATAATCTCAATTCCAGCGTCCTCACTGCAACAAAATTATTGAGAATGCTGCGATTTCTTAGATTGTGCAAGTTGGCTAGGTACGATTTAATATTAAAGTGTTCATTAAAAATTGATATTTTACTGACTTTAAAAAGTAAGAGGTACTTAATTTGACTGATATTAGTGGATGTGTTATGTGATATTCTTCCCAAGTTTTGAATCAATTTTGGTAACTCTTTTTAATGAATTTTCTCAAGCCAGATTTCATATTAATTTCATAATAATCCATCCCTAAGTATACAATAAATAATATACAAGAAATTTTGAAGTCGTTGTACCTTTTTCGCTTAAAAATGAATTGATTTTACAATATAATAGACGAATATTTTGTTTCTCACTTTGACGTAATAATAAGTAATTGTTTATTCAGAGTATCTGTACCAAAAATAATGGCGTACATCGACCGGATGATTGATATACAACTAGCATTTGGCTATGACGTCGGAAAGGTAAATTCATATTCTACTGATTGAATTTAAATTTTTATACATGTACAGTACAGGTAGGTAAATCAGGTACAAAAATCGAGGTGGAACTTCATTTTTGCTGTATTTTTTGCACGTATAATACTTGATATCTTCGCTATTTTTAATCCATACTTAATATTATAAATGCGAAAGTTTGTTTGTTTGTCCTTCTTTCACGTCGAAACAGAGTGACGGATTGGCGTGATTTTTGGTGTCTAGACAGTTGGAGGGTAGGAGAGAGACATGGGCTACTTTTTACTGCGGGAGATTATGTCCCACGGGAAAATACGTAATAATACGACCGACAACAACTCATCATACCTATGTACCTATATACCTATATATAAAATATAGTTTATTATGAGCCGCTAGTATTATATATAAAATTGTATTGATATTATTTTATTTTTTGGAATGAATTAGGGTTGTGCCATATAAAGTTAATACTATATGGTTATAAATATTTATTTCTAATATAAATCCTCAAGACCTTTCTTTTCTATTTTAAAAAATAACGACAAAATGGAAGTAAAACTTATTTTCGAACAAAATAAATTAAATTAAGAACACTTTTGTTTTAGGGTTTTGTAACTGGAGAACAGGAAGTATGTAATCTTCTTCCACAATTAGTGGACAATATTCAGATTCAAGAGACTTTGTATAATAAACTAGAAGCTGACCGGTAATTACTAACTATACTTACAATTAGACCATCAAATCTAAGAAACACACTTTGGCAGCTGTCAGATTGACTTGTCTAAAGCCTTAATTTAATAATTGCCATTGAAAATATTCGATTTAAAGATAAATTATATACATAATATTGTAATTTAATTTAAATTTGTGGTATGGTTTTTTTTTAATAAGCTCTTTAACATGATTTAACTTTATATTATATTGTACAGGAATGTTACATATAATAATAACTATATAAAATTAAATAACGTAAAAATTCTTTGTAGGATTTATTATTTTAAATTATTACGTTTGAACAAGTTTATTGCGTAAAAAAATTGCGAAACGTCAAAATGCCTTTCTTAGATTTTATAGACTATAATTAATTGTATTTATTAATTTTAACTTGTAATATTACATTAGTTAACTAATTTAACACTAGTTAAACATTCTAATTTCCAAAGATTACAAGTGGTGTCTCTCAAGGCATTGTTCTTAGGTCGCTATTATTCAATCTATATGAAATTGGCAAAATTTAGTTTAATATATTTTATTATTATAATAGAAATTATAATTAATTCATTTTATATATACTTGTCTCATACTATAATATAACTACATCTTTTAAATTATTATATAATTTAAATTTAGTTAATAATTAATTAAAAAAAAGTAATAGCATTCGTTCACAGTTCGTTCATACTTTTTGTATTCGTTATCCTAGTAATAAACACATTTAATTTCATAAAAAACAAGTATTGTTTAAAGCTCTATAATAGTTGACTATAAAATATTCTAGACTAACGGTGACTCGTCAGTTAGGGTTGTTACAACGAGATCGACCCTGGACAGCCATAACAGTGAAGACAAGACAAGCGACCACCTCCACTCTAAACATCATGTTACTAGACGCTATGCAGTTAAAAGAAGAAGGTTATAAATTATTTTGATTAGTACTTGGGCGACCGAGCTTGGCTCGTCGTTTTTCGGAAAAGACTGATATAAAAATTTAAAGACTGAAATAAAAGAATTATTATAATCTCTCTGCTTATCACATCACACAAAGAATAAACATTAATCTTGAAAACTGGAAATTGCCTCGTTGGTATAGTGACCAGCATGTACTGCAGCTGAAAGTCCTAGGTTCCAGCCCCGGGTTGGATTAAATGTGGTTCGCTAGCCTTATTTGGGCGTCGTGGCCAAAATCGTTCAAAGCTATAAGCCTCATCTAATACTTACTTACCTTTAAGGTTTCCTGGATGAAGTCGAATATCGAATACTGGTTACTGCAATAGAACAAAAAGTTCAACTTTGTCGACACAAAGGTAGTTTAGTTGCTCCGTCTTCACCTGAAGTGAGTGTTTTAAAGCATTAATTACCTATTTTTATATCGTTACTTCAATAAAATAGTTAAAAATATATTTCTCTATTAGACTCAACTTCGTGCAGTGTCATGGCTTCAAGGTAATGAAAGAGTAGCAGACTACTTCATTGAGAATTCCGAGATACTTAATTATAATATAAATGATATACTTATTTCAAGAGGTAAGTATTAATTGGGTTTTTATTATAGTCGCGATCAGACTCAAAACATATAATAGGTATGTACATATACATAGTATCCCATTTTATACGCCAGAGTTTAAAACCATTGCTAATGTTTAGTAGTTAAACTAGCTAAATCAAATCCTAATGGTTATAGCGGGATGTTAGATAGCTTATTATCTTCCTCAAAATTGGCTGGCCTTAAAATTCAGTCATATTTTTTTAATTGGACTGTTAAATTCAGAGATTAGTGCGAGATTAACTCAAGCAACATCTTTGCAAAACGTCTTATATATTTAGAGCCAAATTGGTATCATGAATTAGTCATGTTAGGCTTTTTTCGAGGCACAGAAAGGTAACACCGCACTTTCTAACTCCGGAATGCTTTCCTGATAAAAAAACCCAAGAACTATACTTGTCTCGACCTGAAACTCGCACACAGGACTTTCGAATCTGCAGCCGGAGACGGTATCTTCTACACCAAGGGGGCAGTTTCAATTATTTAGTGTATCTACAACTTTTAGGCGATCAACCTAAAGGTCTATACATACTAGTGGCCGGTCTCTGTGAAGCCAGTTATGTGCCACCAGATGAAGACATAGACGAAGCGATACCAAATTATGAATTTAGGACTGATATGAAATTTTCTGAGCCCAGCAAAGATTTTATTGTTTCTGGAAATGCGGTTGGTGTCTTAGGGGTAAGTGTGATGTAGTTGATGACAGATTTTGAGATCTTTTTAGTGTTATGTACTTTATGTTACGTAATGTACTTATATTATAACAAATGAGTTTGAGCATTAAGCAATTTTATATTATACTAGCATTGCCCACGGCTCCGCCCAACTTCAGATGAAGAAAAAATAAATTCTTAGGTTTTACATATCAGTATACTCTTACATTGCAGTTTTTGTATTTTTTCTCGGAAATGAGACATTTTCCCGCGGTAAAAAGTATATGTTGACCCGTATAACCAGCTATCATCATACGAAATTTCATCAAAATCCCTTCAGCGGTTTTTCCGTGACGCGGTAACAGACAGACAGACAAACGGACAAAAATTCTAAAAACTATATATTCGGCCTCTGTAGCGATAATAATGTCTATTTTAATAAGATTTTCCAAAAAATATTTAATGTACAGATTCGGCTTAGTTACAATTTTATTATATGTATAGACTAGCGCCTCACCTTTGCTTCGCTCGTGTTTGTCGTTAGTACGTTTTAAATAGATGTAAATAATTATTAGCCAGCGTTAGCCATATAAACGGTATTTTTTTATGTTAATAAGATTGACAAATATTGACATTAATATTTATACGATTCTAACGTCACACAATTGCCATCAATGTTTTGCCTTCCCGGAACCTCTCCATTAACATTTAAACTTTATGTTATGGTATTAAAGTTAAAATTGACTTTTAAGTATTATTACGAATCTTTTGTATGAGAGTATAGAAAAGAGTTGTTTTTAGAATTTTTCAGGCATTTTTTTTAATTTTTCTCTCCGTAAGAACCATTCTCGCACTTCAAGGAATATTCTAAAAAAAGAATTAGCGAAATCGGTTTAGCTGCTCTCGAGATTTGCGCTTACCAATACATTCAGCGATTCATTTTTATATTATAGATGCAGCCCCTTTTAACGTCCCTCTGCTGGACGCGAGCCTTCCCTTCAATACGAGGGGCATCAGGCCATAGTCCACCACGCTGGCCGAGTGCGGGGTGGACTTAACAACTCTTTCGAAAACTAGCTAGGTTCTCTCAGACATGCAGGTTTCCTCACGATATTTTCCTTCGCCGTAAGATAAATAAATGTGTTAGAAATAATTTATACATGAGAATATCAAAGGTCCAATTGTCAAAAAAATTCCAAGCGAGCGCATTACCACTGGACTACTACTAACTATTACAACATTTTAACTATTCTAGGTCTTAACAAACCGTCCATACAGTTACACAGTGCGCTGTGACTCTGCTGTGCAGGCGTACTACATCACCATGCCCATCATCAAAGAGGCTTTCAACCTGGCACCACATCCTATCATGGGGTTAGATGATTCCTGATAGTTATTTAAAATGGTCTAAATTAGCGGTAAGCCTCAAAATAACATATCGGTACTACATGCACCGGACTTCGTTCACTTTAAGGAAACAAATAGACGTTTTCATTTAAAATTATACGGATGCAAGGTTTTAAATTACGAGTTTTCATAATTAAAATAACATTATGATAATAATTACATAGGATAGGTCATAGGCTGAAGTATCTCCATAAAACGCACTTTTACTTAAACTTTTTTTATTGACTTTTTTTTACACTATGGCTGGGTTATAACATCCTTAATTATATGTAAATATATATTTTAAAATTATTGTTTTATTTGAAACTAGCATTGCCCGCGGCTCCGCCCGCGTTCATATGACTAAAACCAAATTCTTAGGTTTTATATAATAGTATACTCGTACTAGTATATTAGTTGACCCGGATAACCAGCTACACATACCATACCAAATTTCTTCAAAATCCCTCCAGAGATTTTTCTGTGATGCGGTCACAGACAGACAAACAGACAAAAATTCTTAAAACTATAGGTTCGGTCTCTGTTAGCGATAATAATGTGTATTTCAATAAAATTTTCCAAAAAAATATTTAAAGGACAGATACTGCTTCATTAAATTTTAATGTATCTATAGATGTAATTAATTCATATTTGTTTGATCCTTCAGTCTAGAAGCAGCTATGTGGAGGGAAATCGGGATAAAGCTATCTATTATGATCCTACCCACAGTGCCGGCGTACCACGGCTGGTCGAATGAAAAGATTAGTATGCGATTGGAGCATGCTTTTGTCCCATGCCTAAAAGCTTTCAAGGTAACCTGAAACAAATGCTTAAAATTTAAAATAAATGTACATATATGTCCAAATTTATAGAGAACTAGCGAGTCGAGGGTCGCTTTGCTCGGGTTCGTTTCTAGGTTGCTTCTCCATACAAACTTATATCCCCTTTTCACTCCTTTAAGGGATAATTTCCGGAATAAAAACTATCCTACGTCCTTCCCAGGATCTCAAACTATCTTCTTACCAAATTTCATCTAAATCGGTTCATTAGCTTCGGTGCTTATTCGGTACAAACAAACAAAAAAAGTCTTTTCTTTATAATCTTTATATATATAATTCTTCTGTGAGTGTGTATGTCTCTGAACTTCTCTCAAACGACTGGACCGATTTTGATGAATTTTTTTGTGTGTGTTCAAGGGGATCTGGGAATGGTTTAGATTCACAATTTGAATAATAATTTTCATCAAAAAATTTTTTAAAAAAAGTTTGAAATTTTGAAATTAAAGACGTGTAGACAGGACAACGTCTGTCGGGTCCGCTAGTATTAGTATAGTATACAATTATTGCGGTTTAAAATATTTCGGGAATTCCAACTTTTAAAATTAAAGATGGTTTTATGTTTTCATTTTTAAGGTATTCGTAGTGAATGAACTTATGGAGGACATAATATTGTTGGACGGCATTTGCCAAGACATGGCGACACGAGAGGTTTTCCAACCACCTTGTTACGTGCCGAGGTAACGTTCTTCCTATTTTTATTCTAGCTATATATTCTATATATCTGACGAAGTAGAGATGAGAGAATTTTAATTTAATGAATACTTTTAAATAATACTATCTTTTCGGATTATTTAGCGGATTTATTTTGATTTTTGGTTCCCTAAAAAAAAAATCCGCGAAATAATTATTAAATTTATATAACTTAAGCAGGTACTTTTGCTTCGAGACAAACGTGTCGTCAAATAAATAGCTAATCTTAATACTTTACTTCTTTCAATCACCAAACAGGACAGTCCACCGTTTATTATTTCCAAAATCTTCGCAATTGGTGGTCAGTGGTTCGTGTCCAGAGACGAAATTATTGATAGTACCCGCAAAAGATACGGATGAGCTTGACATAATGGAGGATGAATTGGATGATTTGCAATGTGAACTGGTAACTATTTATAGCGTACTAGCGGCTTACCCTCGCTTTCGTTCGGCTTCGTCACTAGGAACTTTTTACGAATAGATAGAATATATATTTATTATGTACATAAGTATGATGTGATGAGTTGTTGTGGGTTGTATTATAATGTGTTTTACCGTGGGAATGAGATAATCTCTCGCGGTAAATCACGCCAATTCGTCACTCTGTTTCGAGGTGAAAGAAGGACTGACAATCACACTTTCACATTTATAGTATTAGTATATTATTATTATTAATATACTGGTTCGTTTTGATAGAGTCGACGGTTTTAGTTTTTTTCAAGTTCTCTCTTTATTGTGTCATTCTCCAATTATTAATTATAAAAAGTCTTCTACTACTACTTGTATACGAAATATTACTGTTGCAGAGTTACGAAAAGAAAAAACTAAACATCGGCACATGTTTTTAATTAACACGCAATTGCCTCAAAATAATTCAATTCAATTCTCTTGTTAATTAATTGGCTTCAAAGCGTGCCAGTTGAACCCAAAATAATTCAACATTTCTATACTATGTAGGTGTCAAATGCGTCATCACGATGTTTATACCACAAAGTGGCACGCAAGTTATCGAGCGAGTCGCGCGGTAAGAGCGCCATACGGTTGCGAGGCAAGCGACGCCGCGGGGCGAGGCGAGTTAATTACAGGGACTCTGTATGGGGGAATAAGATTTGTAAGTGAATATTGTATCAATTGACATATGGTATTGATTATAGATATTTGTCTTTTGTTCTGTTCTTCTACCCCAAAATATATTACTGAGTAATGCATAGCATATTCTGTTCAAGAGTTTTTTGTTCATGAAAACGTGTGGAATAAAGAATTAAGATATTATATTGACTTATATACGGATAAAATATCTATCATGTTGTATTAAAAACTAGCGGCTCATCCTCGCTTCGCTCAGGTTTGCCTGTAGAAAGATAAAAAAAAATCTATCCCACGGGAACCCTACATTTTTTCGGGATAAAAAGTAGTGTATGTGTTAATCTGATGTATGAGCTATATTATTGTAAAGTTTCATCAAAATCCATTCCGTAGTTTTTGCGTGAAAGAGTAACAAACATACATCTATACTTACAAACTTTCACATTTATAAAATTAGTATAGATAATGTAACTCGGTATTTAAAAGAGCAACTGTTGATTTTTTTGAAGGTTTTCAGTAGAACTGCCTTTCGAACCGGTGGTCGCTTCCTCACGGACTGATTAAACTGATTTTCTTTAAATTAAATTTAAATTTAAAAAGTTCTTCTCTATGACTAATTGAATAAAGTTAAGTTCGTATTATAATTATCTGACTTTTTTGTCGCGGCAACCATGAATGTCACTTAGAGAACACAAAAGAAATTACGGTGAAGAGGGTGTGTGCGACAACGCACAATTTCTGATCTCTTATTGTACGGTTAGACAACAACTCGACACGATTTGAACGAGATTAAGATTTCTATCGTTATTTCGTAAGAAATTTTATGAAAATCCGAAACCACGAACACGCTTCTTTTCTTAGATTTTCGAGAATATCTGAAATCTATACATATATGTACAAAAAATTGTAACTAATCGTTGCCTGTACATTGGAGATATTTGAGAAAAACTGTTATTGAGGGTCTTTATTAACGCAATAGAACGCAAAACAATAATTTTTAGAATTTTTCTGTCTGTCCATCTGTTTGTGTGTGCGTTTGTTCGAACTAATCTCACGTCGCTAATATGTCTCGTATAATCACGATACGGTTTTCACTAATGTATTATAGTAAGCTTCACTTAACATTTAGTATTTGTTTTATTCCAATCGGTTCATAAATAAAAAAGTTATGTCCATTTAATCACCTAGGGACGAATCTGAGCGAAGCAAGGGTGAACCGCTAGTTTTAAATAAAAATATATTTTCGGTTTTTGTCACCTTTTTTTGTCCTCAACGTTTCATTTGCATTTCAGCAAACATGGTCACTGGAGAGATTCTTCCTTCGAATAGTAACTTTCTGTCAATACTAACTAATAGAACATGAGTAGGTACTCAAAGTATGTTCGCGAATTCAACGATCGAGTTATATCTTTCTTACTGAATAGCACTTCATCTCTCTCTTGTTGTGTTATAATGTTGTTTTCATTTTCAAAGCAGTGAAAAATTCTAAGAATGTTTATCACTTTTATCTTTGCTATCCTTTAACAGCTTCAGCGATTGTACCCAACCCATCTGTAACTGGTACAAATAGCGAGAAGGAACTCAATTCCAAGTTTTACAAACCAAGCTTCAATAACATGGTAAGTTAGCTTACCACTAACTACTCACCTGGTCAGTGGTAGCGGTATGCTTTTAAAATATGTATCGATCGTTGAAATAGACAGTTCTTTCTATATTGTAAATTATATATTAAAGATATTTTAAAAGGATTTAAAAAAAAATTATGGAAGCTAGCTTTAGCAATTTTATCTCCATTTTTTTTCAAAGTAGTAAAACTTAAATGATGAAACATAAATGGATACAGATAGCTAAATAAACGAATAATATCAGCAATATTTTAAGTTAACTATTTTTTTTTAAACTACTTAAGACAATTAACACATGAGTTCATTTTAAAGATTATCATCACCGTTTTCATATGACCTTTACCTACCTTCGAATATCTTAGAAACGTAATACTTTAGGGCATTGTATTACTGATTTTAACTGTTTTTTTTATATTATTTCAAAATAAAAAGAGGTGAAATGTTGGCAATGCCACAAAGGTTCTAGTCCCTTCACTAACTTCACTCTCGTGTAGGTCTTACGCTGGGCGCCATTTTTTAAAATTTTGATTATATAAATTTTTTTCATTTAATTTATTACAGACAGAAAAAGAAGAGGATCCGAGACAGAGAAGTGAGTTACTATGTTATTTAAACCATCATAGCTACCTATAAACATATTTTTTGAAACTTAACATATACACATTTTTTAAATTATTCTCGATTAATCTTTAAATTGTACGCTGTAATAGTCTAATACTCTTCCTTCCTTTTATTCAAAACAATTAAGCATTCAACGCGACGACATGTTGTGACGACATGTACTTGCTGTACCAGCGGTCGCGGGTACGAATCCTGCTGGAGTCATTCATTTGTGTGATGAGCACGAATGTGTGTACTGCAGTCATGGGTGTTTCTATTTATAATATGTATTTAAAGTGTGTAGTGTATCAACTTCCTTTTTTTTTCTTTTTTTTTTAACGTTGGGAAATGCATTTACGTACGAGGTGTGAGACTCACCGGCGTAATAAAGCCTGTAATATCTACTAAAACCCAACAAAACTTTCCCCCGTCTTAATGGGGCGTCGCAGGATTCGCTTACGCATTCAACTATGACGCCCCGACGGCAGGTCTGCCGAAGCAGATCACCACAACCATGGGGTTGCTCCAAGGTCCACTCTGCTATCAGAGAAGTACCAGGAGCAACCCACATGGTACACCGCCCACCGAAGAGAGCCACCTTCCACCGCCCACCTAAGTGGGCCACCTCCCTGTGCGTTTCTTGGCTTCGCGCCCGGTTGGGTTGCCGGGCACTACTGAGCCCCTCCACCACGACAAGGTGAACGCACGTTGGGGGGGGGGTGTATCAACTACCTGGTATCCATAACACAAGCCTCGTAGCTTACCATGGAACTAGATGGTGCTGTGTGTTAATGTCCCAACATATTTATTTAATGATATGTACAGATTCCAGTGAAATAAAAAACTTGTCGTTGGGCTCTTCCCAACCGTCGCAGATGTCGCCGATGCGGACACAAATGTCGGAGCAAGAGGTTGTAGCTTGCGCACTTTTATTATAGTTATAACTCGCGTCATCTAAAAAGAACGCTGGAACAAAATGGAGAGGGTATATTTTCGCATGGGTATACTCGCGCACAAAAGTACTAAGCCTATCATTTTATTTTTCATAGCATTTCGCTCGCGGCTTCATATATTAGTTATTGGTAGGGACATTGAAAAATATATTAGATAGAATATCATTAAATAGAATTCTATTCATTATTAAAATATGTTTGATTCAGTGCAGAATGTTTAATCTACTTACAAAAAATTAAATTAATACGTTTAATACATTTTTTTTATTATTAACTGCATTATTATTAGACTCTCTCTTTGTAAAACAATATACGTCAAAAACAATTTTTCTCTTTTCTATATATAAAACCATTTCGTAATTAAAAACTTTTGTGTGCGCGATGGTATTTCGAACTGACGAACCAATAGCGCGCCAGCAAGCATGCGGCGCGCGCCCCGCCGCCCCGCGCCGCCCCGCGCCCTCTTCTTACCACCAATTTGACCGATAAATCGCTTCTGCGCAGCTTGACAGCCAGCGTTCTTTTTAGATGACGCGAGTTATATAACAAGCATTTCTATTCATATAATAAAATTCTAACTGAGTCGAATCTGCACATTAAATATTTTTCGGAAAATCTTATTATATTATATTCTTATTATATTTTTGTCTGCCTGTCTGGGAACGCATCACGAGAAAACCACTGGACAGATTTGGATGTAATTTGGCATGATAGCTGGTAATCCGGGACAACATATAAAATACTTTTTACTGCGGGAAAATATTTCTGAGAAATTTATACTAACCATTAAAACGTACATAGGGACGAACCCGAGCGGTAAGTCGCTAGTACTCTATAAATCACCAATGATTTGGACCACTGTTATAAATACAAAATTGTATGTGTGTATGTTTGTTATGTATGTTATTAAAACGGCTGAAATGGATGAAATTTATAACATTGTACACCGATAGATTACGATCTAGAATATCAGGTTATCTGTTAGGTAACTGGTAATAATTAAATACAGTTTTATTAGCTTTAATTATGATCATGTCGTAAGTACACTTTGTATCGCTTACATTGTAGTTTCAAAGTATATCTAGTATAGTAAAGCAAAGTATGTGAAATCGGAGTTACAATGCATTAACTTGAACCTATCGCACTGATCTAAAGCGGACAAACTTAGTGGTTATTTTAGTTTGGAAGTCGGTTTTTTGTTTTAAGTTTTTATTTTTTCATTTTTAGTGTAGATGTAATACGCGGGTAATTTGTAAGAAAAAAGTTTTTTAATGACATATTCGATTAAACAATTTATTTAAAAATATATTTATTCTTGATTTCTTGAAAAACCGCTCAACCGATTTCGATAAAATTTATATGGGACTACCTGGAAAGTATACCCTTTGAAACAAAACCAAAAATTTCCAAATCGGTTCAGGCGTCTTCGAGTAATCGGTGAACATACATACAAAAAAAAAGATTTCGACGAATTCAGAACCACCTCATTTTTGGAAATCGGTTAAAAAGGGCTGAATACCATACAATACAAACACACTCAGGCTAACTATAACCGCACTATAACGTTATGTAGTTACAGTTAAAACAGTTTTCCAGTCAAAACAACTTTTGACCAACCTTTGATTAGTCTAAAGTACTTCGTGGTTTGTAGTTGAGTTTTGGTTGTAACATACATACATACATATACGTATATATTCAGTCCTTTTTAACGTCCCACTGCTGGACGCGGGATACGAGGAGGATCAGACCATAGTCCACCACGCTGGCCAAGTGCGGGTTGGCAGACTTCACATGTCTATCGAAAACTTCTCTCAGACATGCAGGTTTTCTCACGATGTTTTCCTTCACCGCAAGGCAAGTGGTAGATAATCATGTTGGAAATGATTCGCACGTAAAAATATCAGAGGTGCGAAACTCGGGATTTGAACTCGCTTCACTCGGTTTCCCAAGCGAGCGCGTTACCATTGCGCTGCTGCCTAGTCTGAGTTGATACATACAATAACATTTTATATATTTCACTGTACAATTGAAATTTATATATTAATTAAATGATTGACAGATTTACAACACGTCGTTATCTAAGAACAAAAAGGGGTCTATTGACAAGGTTAAAAATAATTCAAACAAAAATGGATGAAATATACCTATCATAATTTGTGCTTAGAAATCAGTGTACGTAATTATGATATGAAAATATGTATTCAAAAATGTTATTTTTATAGTATGTTTCCTCATTTATATTGTAACTTAAAATTGATCTAAATGACTTAAAAGTGGCAATGAGACGAAGCCAGAGCTATGTATTCAAACAAAATGGGAGAAATGCGAAACTAAATAGGCACTATAAAAGATATAATTTAAAAAAAATCTAAGTTTTGTTAAATATTGATTTTGTATATATTTTCTATATACCGTACTTTACTATCTACGATTCTGTACAGCGAGTATCTATCTAGATATATTTTAATGCAAATATCTGGAATTTTATGGATTTTTTTTAGTAGACTTGATATTATCATTTTTTTTATATTTTTATTATTCGTATATTGCATTTATATCTTGGTTAATCTCTGTGGTAATGAAAGCGAATTTTATATGATTTTTAGCTAAAGTTGTATTAAAATAAACATAAATAACAAACTTATCTTTTATTTCTTTATTAGGAACTACATACATACATCTACTAATATTGTTCCTAAATGCGAAAGTTTTCATGTTACCTTTCTAATTGTCAAACTGTCCCTGAAAAGTGCCATTGGACACACTTATTAGAGGACGCACCTACTTATTTACATAGATGTATATTATAGGTAGGTGCATGGTTTAGATTTAATTCTTCATTGGATTTAGTGGGTTATTTTTGTTTAATTATATGTATCATGTACAATGTACATAAAGATGTATATATGATTTCCCTCATCCTCATATATAAGTATTGATGTTCTCCTGACCGATTTCGGCCACGGCGGCCAATCTCATTGAGACTAGCCAACTGCGCAGGAGATATTTAAATAGTGCAGTGCGTGTGCGCGCAGACACAACGTGCACTCTCTATTCCTGTCACTCTCATACTCTGGTGGGACGACACGAGACACGACCAGTGAGAGTTAAGACGCAGGATCGATGGCTTTACGTGCTCTCCGAGGCACGGGTGTGAACCACTGTCAACTTCCCAACTCCGGGCTGTTACTGAGGCTTACTATGTAGAAAGACTCAATAACTAAAATTGGCCCGATCCGGGACTCGAACCCAGGACCTCCGGGTGTGCAGACGTACGTGCTAGCCACTACACCATAGAGGCAGTTAAGTAAAAAATAAGTATGTACTATGTGACTACACATACAGCAAGAAATTATATTTATAGACATACATACATATATAGAAATATCCGCATTGCTGAGACTACTCAAAATAAAAATTTGCGGCTAATGAATATAACATAATTATTTCGTTAATAAATAACTATCCAGAGCTCTGAGCTGGTGTCCGAAAATTATTTCAGAGCGCCTAATATACATTAAATAAAAATTGGCAATTTAAAATATTGCATTATTTATTTCTTAGGCGTCGCTTGTAAACATGGAAAATCCCCATTAAATCACTACGAATGGAAAGTGGTAGTACAGTTGAATTGCCAAACATGATAGCGATATGTTACGCAAATCGTGATACCGTATTTGGCTACTTTTAGCGGTGCCTGCTACCACTACATGTTTACATTTTTTAAGAAGCTATTATCTCATACTAGCTGCTAGCTCTAGATACTTAACAGTAGCGTATGTGCTACTCAAAATCATAATATATCTGTGCAGGGCCGGATTATCTTTATGACATTTTAGCAACTGCTTATGGACCCCGCATGGACTAGGGGCCTCACGCACGGAGAAAAAAATTTGAAAATGTATCATCAAGTGAAAATTTAATTTAAAAATAGGTGAAAATTCCACCATGACGACAAATGCAACAGTTAGATTTCTATGAAATCTAGCTAAAGGCGTAATTACAAAAAAAGGAATTTTAATAAGTTAGAAAAGGGTGAAAGGGCCCTGAGAATTGCATTGCCTAGGGGCCCCCGACATGGTTAATTCGGCCCTGTATCTGTGTACTAAATTCTATCCAAAACCGTACGGCCAGGTTGAAGTAGTAACAAAGATACGTACATTTCGCGTTTACAACTATTATAAAGTTAACCAAAAAGTATTAACCTCTTTTTGTGGTCAGTTTAAAAATGTCGTATGTTGCCGTGCGAATCTAAGAGGCGGAACTACTCTAACGATTCTGGTTTATCTTTGAATGTAATAGGCTACATTTTATGGCGACATATCAATAGATATCAAGTAATTTATAGGACTATTGCAAAAAGTTACTGAATCCTATGTCAATCAAACCCAAATCACCATCATCTTCCATCTTTTCTCTGGTCACACATCGGCCCACTTTAGGATGTAAGCTTCTCTAGTCATTGCCTGCACAGTCTCTTACATCATTAATCTATTGCTTTAAATCTTGGTCTGGTGTGTTCCCCATGGTTTTTATTGCACGAATAGATACATCAACCAATTCATCTCCATACGCGCTACGTATCCAGCCCAGTGCCATTTTATACTGCTATGATGGTTATCAAATCCCTTACCTCGTTTTCAACCCCCGACGCAAGAAGAGGGGTGTTATAAGTTTGACGTCGATGTCTGTCTGTCTGTCTGTGTGTGTGTGTCTGTCTGTGGCATCGTAGCTCTCAAATGGATGGACCGATTTCGATGCGATTTTTTTTCATTTGAAAGCCAGTTTCTTTTAGCTTACTCTACTTACTCGGTTAAGTGCTTCACGCGTGCTAGGGTAATCGTTAAATGACAATTAATTTGCGTTGGGGCTTTTTAAAATTTTAATTAAATAATTAATTAATTAATTAATGTATTAATCTTAATCTTTTTTTATGTTCCAATATTCTATCATGATTTAACTGAGCTATAAGAGGGAATCAGACATTCCTAACAGTCATCTATGCTTAACATACCGATAGAGTCATGTATCTTATAAAATTAATTTTATGCGGGGTGGAAGGCACGACCTTTGACACAAAAAATGCAGTTATTGTATTTCCTTTGCAAGTTGGTAACTATGGAACTTGTATAGGACTGAATAGTTATGAAGATATGTAACATTACTAGCGACTCACACTCGCTTCGCTCGGGTTTGAATAAATAAGTGTACGGAGTACCACAAATGACTTAATACTACACTGTTACAGATGACCAATCCCATACAAAGAAAGTGGTCAACTTTTATTCTTGTTATTTTTAACCAACTTCCAAAAAGGGCGAGGTTCTCAATTCGTCGGAATCTTTTTTTTATGTATGTTCATCGATTACTCGAAGACGCCTGAACCGATTTGGAATTTTTTTATTTTGTTTCGAAGGGTACACTTTCCAGGTGGTCCCATATAAATTTTATCGAAATCGGACGAGCGGTTTTTTTTAAAATTCAACAAGAAATATTTTTTTAAATAAATTGTGTAATCGAATATGTTATTAAAAACTTTCTTCTTACAAATTACCTTCTTATTACGTCTTCACTAAAAGTGGAAAAATAAAAACTTAAAAAAAAAACCGATTTCCATGCACTAAAATAACTAAATGGGAGTTTTCATTTAGAATAGATACCTAATCAGATATTTTCGAAGTCGGTGCTAGCCGACAGTATTTTAAGAATAAATATCTAATAGGTAAATATGTGTTTTACGTATCGAAATATATTAGATTTGCTTTGCGTCAGTTAAAAAGTATCATATATATTGACCCGGATAACCAGCTATCACGATACCAAATTTCATCAAAATCCCTCCAGTGGTTTTTCTGTGATGCGGTAACAGACAGACAGACAAAAATTCTAAAAACTATAGATTCGGCCTCTGTATCGATATTATTGTTTATTTCAATAAGATTTTCCAAAAAATATTTAATGTACAGATTCGACTTAGTTACAATTTTATTATATGTATAGATATATAGTAATAATGGATGATCTTGAATTCACTTATAAAACATGTTTCTATTAATTTTAGAAAATGTTTAACGTAGGTACAAACGAGATGCCCCTGACGAGCGAGTTTTGGTCATGTTAACATTATATCGATTAAAATTAGCCTTTAATTACCATTTTAGGGTCTATTAATAAGGGCTTTTAAGGGTTGTTTTATGATTATAAATTAATCATTAAAAAGGCTGTCAAAGATGTTTAATGATATCTTTGATTTGAATGTTGTTTATGGAAAAACGTCGACAATTTACACTGTAAGTTACTTAATGATTCTAATTACTGTATCGTTTAATTATAATGATTACTAGCGGCTCACCCTCGCTTCGTTCGGATTCACCTCTAGAAAAACAAAAACAAATCTATCCCACGGGAACCGTACATTTTTCCGTAATAAAACTAGCCTAGCTGCTATTCCAGACATCTATCTCTGTGCCAAACTTCCTATTTATGGAAAAAATAGGTTCCTAGTTATGAAAAAAATAGGTTCCTAGTTATGAAAAAAATAGGTTCACTTAAAAATGTGAATTTAAAACACCCAGAAATTTTATTGTGCGGGTCCAGCTCATTTGAGATTGCCAGGGCTGCAGCCCTGTTTGCACTCCTCTAAATCAGAAAGCAGATTTTAATGGGATTAGAGAAGAACTTAAAGTGATATGCATTTAATGACACAAATAAATATTTCATAGCAACATTGTTATACAAGCTAATATAGTTTATAGAGATGAGATGTAAATCTAGGCAAAAGTAATTGTAAGATAATATTTATGTCATTCTGTACAACAGCAAACGTTATCTTAATTGTTCATTTTGTAATTTATATGACGCTTATTATTTCCTTTAAATATATGTACCTATCCTAGCAGTACCCGCGACTTCGCCCGCGTCCAAACTTCCGTTCGCTAACAAAATTCATAGCATCACCCGCTGGGCTAATCTAAAGATTACCTGAAAATTTCATCAAAATCGTTCCAGCTGTTTTGGAGTCCATAGGAAACATACATACACACATTGATTTTTATTTTATTTAATCAAAGATTTAAATTTATTTATTGCTTGGAAAATGGAGTCTTTTATGAAAATTTAATGACACACTGACTGCAGCGCCACCTACTGGATCCATTTGCGAATTCAAACCTCGCAGAGGCCCACTCGAACATAGATAAAAAATATCATTAAAATCGTCCCTGCCGTTTAGGAGATGATCAGTGGCACACCGACAGCAAAGCCACCTACTGGGTCCATTTGTGAATTCAAACCTTGCAGGGACCCACTCGAACAAACACAAAAAAAACATTAAAATCGTCCCTGGCGTTAAGGATATGATCAGTGGCACAACGACTTACAATTGACGATTGTAAGAAAATTGGTAATCAATCAATCAAGGTGCGAGACCCAATATTTATACCCACTATATAACAAGTGCGTTACTACTGAGCTACCACTTTTTAGAGTCTATATTCTATATATGTCCATATAGCCTATATATACCAAGACAAGTGCGTTGTATAGGTTAACATTTACCCAATAATACACAATTATCAACAAGTTAAACATTAAGTGTAAAACATTTATGAAATTATTTTTTTAACTTCTTCATTATATTTTTTTAAATCAATACGAGCTTTCAGAATAAGTGGAATGAGAAAATATCTCCAAAAACTGCATTGCGTTTGCGTTACATGGAATTTTAAATTGTATGAAAAATAAAACACTGAAACGACCAATAACATTTTGTTCTTTATTTTATTTCTTATAAAATTGAATATATATTTTTAAAATTTTTATTATAACATACAAGGTTTATTTTTCCAATGTCTATAAAAAAATGTCTATAAATAAAATTTAAAAGCAAATAACATAAAAAAAACTTGTGATGTCGAATTTTTAACAAGATATTTCAAGAACTCTACCTTTTAAAGTCAGTAAAGAACCGGTTAACTGGCCAACTAACGGACGTACGAAAGTACTTAACGTTCTTACGTATATGAGATGATTATTTTAAAAGAAACCTTTTTATTTATTTTTTTATTTCATTTTATTTTAAGAAATACGCTGTTTTTTTCATTTCACTAGGTAATAGGTATACTTATTGAAATTCAAAAATGTATTTGTTAAAATATTTATTCATCATTTGTATTCATATTATCAAATCTTAGAAATCTATTTTAATTTTTAATCTGTATAAAGGCATAACAAATACTATTATTTGATGCCATCAAGCATTTGTTATGATGATGACAGGAGTTGGAAACTAGAAACTGGAAGCCTTCAAATAAAAATCGTTTTATTACACATCTCCAGGCTAGATGTTTTTTTAGTAAAAATAGCCTGGAGCACATTGTTGGTGACAACACTCCTGGGTCGTGTTTGTTAATAATAAATATGTTCTATAGTTTAAAAAATATATTTCGTCAGGAAAACTAATGAGGGGTCCACCACATAGATCTTAGACTATGTCATTCCCATATGTGTATTATTTCATATGTGTATTCTTCAACGGTTGTAGATAATTGTTTTGTCTAAGCTTCCATGTTTACTATACATTAAGTGCCACTTAAATATCATCTTAAACATGTTAAGCAAACGTCAAGTTGTACTGTTTGACATAGTTTAAGCACGAGTATAATATTGCAAGTTTTTTTTAATATTTTACTACATTACGCCTTTGATATTTTGGCGAAGCAATATTTATGTGCAACCTTGCTCGTGCGCGCTTACCGTGAACCACGTGGGCCTTTCTCCGAATCTCTATCGATTTTTTTTGTGTAAAATAATTTTTTAGATATTTTAAACTAACAATAAACTTTAATAATATTTTCTAGCATTAAAACAATGAGAATAATTATGTTTATTTAATTTTGGGAACACGTTTCTACTTTAGGATTATATTTTATCCATCTCTTTCAAATATATCTGAAAAACATCTTTTATCTTTTTCTAACTGAAGTATAGTGAAACAGCTACAGATATTTACGAAAGTGACAATAATGTTTTGTAGTTACAACGGGATCTTCATATATCCATCACATTCATACATAGGGAGAAGCGTATCTTCTATCCTTTTCTAAGAAGGGCTTAGTGAAACGATGCGGGCAAACAAACAGGTGTTTGAAGTTTTAACAGGTTGCAAAAGTTTTGGGTTCTGTAAATCAATGGTTTCCCTAAAAGTATAAACAAATGTACATTTATGTACCTAACATATTATTTATATTGTTTTTTTTTCTAACGACTTTTAAAGCAAAGACCTGCGTTTAATAATATTTCATAGAAAATAAACCTATACCACGTATGCATCAAGATACAAAAGAATGTTAAAATAACTTAAATTACACAGATATATATAAATAAATATATTTATATTAATAACCTACACTGATTTTTATAGTCAACTTTATAATAAATGTAATAATGGTATGTAAACCATATTTTTATTTTTAAACGGCTCAAAATATCGTATGAGTACAACAAAAATATAACAATAATAATAACATAATTATTAAAATTTTATTCCTCTTTCTATTATACCTACTAATAATTTAAATTGACATTTAGTTGTGGAACCCTACATCAATGCGTATCCGTTACGCATTGGACTGGTGCTAATAGCTTTGTTCTTGCGCATACAATTACAAGGTATATTAATAATTATAATTTTTTTTTGTAACTATTTGAGTAGTATGCTAAATGCTTACTTTATCAGCTATATTACGATTTTAAGGAAAAAGTTTTAATTAACTTAATTAATTATGATACCTACATAAAATCTATATCTAATCTCCATGGTCATATGGCGATAGGTACCTATGCAGGAAGTCTGTGTTATCCTGGGAAATAATTTAAAAAAGTATCAGGTTTGATTTCTGCCAAAGCCAATTGTAGGATTAAGTATGTACAAACAGGAATATTGTGTCCTGCTTTTATAATTATTAATCAAGTACCATTACATTATCAACGCAGAAAGAAATTAGATTTCGGTATTTTCTTTCTTCATTGCAATATAAAAATTATTCTATCGCTATAGGAACCTATTTTATAATTTTAATTATTAATTTTCAAAATCACTAAAACGTTTTTCAAAAAGCCTTAAAAAATTAATTATGAATGTTACATGTTACATTAGTCACATTTTGTTATTATTTTTAAAATGAATAGTTTAATATATTTTCAATAGTAGTAATTTGTTGATTCTTCCGTAATTATATTTTTTTTATGCTATAAGATACCTGTAAGTAGTTACAAAAAAAATAAGTTCCTCGTTTCATTAATTTTTAATTATTATTCATGTTTCAATTAAGGTAACATTTCAGACAGTTTTGATATAGGTTTATTTATTTATAAAGCTTAGATTATTTACTTACTATACCTAATATCATTAATTACTGCAATCACTTCCTATTGTTCAAATCTCATCAGCACTGATTACGTAACAGTTTTTATTTCATACTATTATACAATGAATAATGTACCTTATCGCATAAGTAATTAAGTGTAAAATAAAGTACAATGAATTGTTAGGCAACAAATGGGTCACCGGGAATGTTTTGTGGGCGTCCATCTTGGATTTACGGTTGAATCAACCAATCAGAGCTAAGAGACCGCAGGGCGGCGCAAGCGCATGGATTAATGCGAGATTTAGTTAATTAAACATTTTCGTTGATTGAGAAAGAATTTAGACAAATTTATTTAGTTTTTAAAACTAACAGAACAACTTTCAAACTATCGTAATGTAAAGGATAATTTAAAACTTCAAGAAAATGGTGATGCCATTGTAAGGGTCAGGCGAGGTCTTGAATTAATATAATTACGTACATAATTAATTTACAAATATTGTTCAGTTGAGCTCGACCTTCTGTTTACCTTGAATGCTTTGGTTATTGTACTGTTGTGAAAAAAATATTTCGAAAATAAAACAAAAGGCCCAATATATTATTTCTTTATTATTAATACCTATACCTTTAGTATTTTTTTTTATTTTAAACATAATAAATAAAAAAAATAAACTTCCTTCATAAATAGAATAAAATTTATAAATTTTATGACTACCCACGATATCGTTGCAATAATTTCGACCATCGACAATAAAATAACGTATAATACAAATACCACTTTCCCTCCATAACTTTAACAAGGCCGCGGAACTACAAACGCAATGTATTAACACGTTTTTAACAAAATCGACTGTCTAGATAAAAACCTTTACAAACAAAATAATCTATGACAGCGTGGCGATGCAATTATCTACCGTGATATTATTGTATACATTTCTTTTCTTGTAAGTGAAATATATTTAAGCTATAATTTTGTATGAGTAATGAATGTGTAACAGATAATAAAACCCGTAGTGACGTTCGGCTATCTCATCAATGATAGTGCGGTGTGGCAACGCCGCTTCGCTCACCTGGCGCTTACCTGCGCAGTGTCAACGAGGGGCAAGCGCGGCAGTCGATCCACCGATCCGACGGGCACGTACGTGTCCTCTACATATTTATAAAAATATTTACTATTACTAAATTACATTGTATAGATATAACAAGTGCACACATAACAATAAAACGAAACTGTGTTTAACTTAAAATAAATCGTTAAACGTCGTTAAATCCGATTGAATGTGATGTTAATTCCAGATTTTCACTTACGGAAATCGCTTACGTAGACGTAGCGGTAAAACGCCGCCCGCGCCACCAGTTACTGACGGTTTCTAGGGACTTGATCACCGTTAGTGTTGTGAAGAAGTTAACTAATAACTTGGTGTTAAGAGTGCAGTGGGAAGTGCATGGCGCGATGATTAGCGGGGGCTGGGTATGCGCGCTGCACGTCCGCACCGCGGGCCTCGGGGGCTCTGCGCTGGGATCGGACGAAGAGGAGATTGTGTACCTCGCCTATGTTGTCATAGACGTTATAACTAACCAGGTAAGTCGTAATTGATCGAAAACATTGTTTCTCTGCTAACGCGGTTAACAAGTAGGTTTTGCAAATAAAATTATGATAAAGTTCAATGTTGATTGAAATTCAAAATGGATTATAACCTCTTTTGACTCTTATTCAAAATATATACTTAGTGGTAGTAGCAATGTTGTTATTTCAACAAGTTAGCTTTCGCCATGTTAAGTGTTGTAAATAGCAGTTATAAACAAAATAAAATAACGTTGCAAGTTTCTAACGTTTCAAAGCTGTTTAGGCAGTGATTTGCATAACGTTTTTAAATGCTCATGATACACGTAAATATGATGGAAAAGAAAAAGTGGCATACTTTTTTCATTTTAAACTTTGCCATGTGAAATTCATAGATAGTAATTATTTTAAGTTTATTGTTATATCAAGACGTCATGATAAAATAATATTAGATTTTATGCTAAATCTAGGTTTCTAGTGGTATAGTCTCCAAAAAGTTTTGGTAAATTATTTTTAATTATTTGAGAAATCTACAACCTTTTAGCGTTTTGTATGATGCCTTAAGTAATTTTTAAGAGAGCATTATAATTGTATTAATTTAAAATACTAGTCCTACTTCCTAAGTAACATAAAGATGACTGGATAAAAAATCTGTCAAATGTATAACAATAAAATAATTTTCTATTTTATCTTTTAAAATGGAATATATTAATGTTTTGCTATAGAAAAGTCGATAGCTATAGCTGATATAAATAAAATTGAAATATCTTTCTCTCATTTCAAAATAACTTTTTTATTTTCAAAACGATCAATCAGTTTTTTTTATCTCTTTGTACTTCGTATCGTTAATTTTCGATACATTTATGAAACTTTTGGCGGTTAGAGAATTCCGATGAGATTGACATTAGGTAAGTTTAAGCTGCTTCCGTTCCGCGAACGAAAAATAAGTTTTCGCACGACGAAGGTTTTATTAGAAATAATAAAGATTATTATTATCGCCGTATAATACTAGTGAAGCCGCAGGTAAAGACATTAAGATAAATAACATTTAAATAAAAATATGTATAAAATATAATAAATTAAAAATTTTAATGTGCACCGAAATCATTGTCCGTAAAGATACGGAGATGAATTTTGATGTAAACCATCATATTTTTTGTATAAATAAGGTCTTTGTTTACTTTTTAGTTTATACTACTATTTTATATAGTTTCGTATTTAAAATAAATGGCTACAAAATTGAACTATCGTACAAGTTTATGTAGACATAACGTGAAAGTTTGAAAATTTATAACTCTGATAACTATATGTAATAAGTCTTAATCAACATGAAACGGTTTTTTTTTTAATTTTAATCTATACTAATATTATAAAGAGGTAAAGTTTGTGAGTTTTTGATATTGTGAGTTTGTGACGTTGTAGGGGGTAATAAAAAAGCTACTGAACCGATTTAGATGAAATTTTGTAAGAAGTTAGTTTACGACCCTGGGAAGGACACAAGGGGATGAAAATGGGGTTGAGCGATTGTATGGGGAATCAAGCTAGGGACGAACCCGAGCGATGCGAGGGTTAGTCGCTAGTAATATATATTTTTAATATAAAAAAGCTAAGTAATTATTAATATTGCGTAACATAATAATACAAAATGAACTTAGAAAACATATCGCAATCAATATATGTACTTAAGTACTTCAGATTGAAGAATAAGATTGACGGAGCTCGCAAAAAATGTCAAAGTTTGCCGCATTATAAACAGCCTTACCCGATGTCCGTCAGTCAGTACGATTGCCTCTTTGAAGGTCCGAGATAGGTTGTCCGGTGTAATATTCTTATTTTGCTTCTGCAAAATAAAATTAATTATGCCGTATTGCATTGTAAGGGAATGTAAAAACTAGTTTTCAAAAACAAAAATAAAATTTGATAAAATTGACATTTTATCATTTATAATCCAAAATATGTTTAAGTAGGTAGTTTTTTTAAAGAATAAAAGAAATTTGTGTGACGATTAATCTTTGATTTACTGTTCTACAAAAAAAAAAGTATAATATTATTTAGTATTTTGCTTAAAAAAATAAGCCGAGTCAAGTTTTTTTATACAGTTGCTTATCCTTATGTCGTGTATTTTATTATTAATTTATTCTGATCATATAAGGGAAGAGAGTTTGGCCGATTTCACCAACGTCACCTAAGTTTAAGGGATCCCCTAAGTATAGTTAGGGGGCTGTTAGGGGACAGTTTCTGCTTCACCGACAGTTAGGAGTCACCTAAATGTTAAAATACCACCTAAATATAGGTACTAGAAATACGGGCTCTGACAATGGTAAAACGAAATTTAATTTAGGAGCTAGTTTAGGAGACTTAAGTTGTACATTACTTTACATACTACATTAGTTGTATTTAGTTATTTTAATTATAGTTATAAAAGTGGCAAAAACAGCATAGCATAGATATACTTAAGGAAACTAATTTAAAACAATTTAAAAAAATCGAAAAGCACCACGACGTAAATTCTAACTTAACTACGAAGTACCTACGAGTACATAGTTGGTAATAAGAAGTTAACTCTGGGATTAAATATATTCTGGGTTTAAATATATATATATTTTTTTAATTTAGGTACATTTACATTATTTAATGCCGTGAATATCCATACCAATATTATAAATGTGAAAGTGTGTTTGTTTGTTTTTCTTTCACGTCGAAACGGAATGACGGATTTGCGTGATTTGATTTGTGTGGAGATAGTTGGAGGGCTGGAGACATAGGCTACTTTTACCGCGGGATATTATCTTATTCACACGGGAAAACACGTTATAATACAACAAAAAAAAAACTTTTTAACAAAAAAATAAAAACCGACTTCAAACAAAAGTGCGCTTTGCTTTGTATCGGCTGACACCGACTTCGAATTTATTTGATTAGGAATGTATAGTAAATGAAAACTACCAATCAGTTATTTTTTACTTTTTAGTGCTTTTGTTTGAAGTCTGTTTTTATTGTTTTGTTAAAAAGTTTTTATTTTTCCCTTTTTAGTGTAGACAGTAGTGGCAAAGTAAGAATTCTAACGTGTTAGGCTTCTCAAATCAAACAAAATAAGCCCAAACTCAAAGTATATACTATTAGCCGTTGAAGAGTTCCACCAATCCACCTTCTGGCCTTACCATCAGATCAAGTCAACAATACCGAATCACTAAACTATCAACGGAAATAGAAACACTTGCAAAGTTTCAAGTCAATATGACAATTAGAAGTAGGTTAAATTCATCATTAGTTATTTTTTTACGCTTAGGGGTGGTATTTGTTTTTTTTTTTGAAATTTAAATGGGACCAATCTGCAAGTATACACTTTCAAACCAAACAAAAATTGTCTAAATCGGTTAATAAATGACGGCGTTTTGAGGTAACAAACATTAAAAAAAATACAACCGAATTGAGAACCTCCTCCTTTTTGAGGAAGTCGGTTGAAAATATTTATGATCAAAATTACTTGAAACTTGGTATTAATACTCTTCAATACAATTAAATAAATACGTGTTTCAGCATTTTTCGAAATTCACCCCATAATGGGGTAAAATAGGGGATGAAAGTTTGCATGAAACTTACCTTTTTTTGAGTTTTTTTGCAGTTTTAGCGCAGATTCTGCTAGTATTTAAATATACCTAATAGCTTGTGTTATTATCTATACTTATATTAAAAAGAGACAAAGTTTTATAACACGCTTATCTCTGGAACTACTAATCCGATTTGAAATAGATTCTTTTTGCATTAGATAGCCCGTTTATCGATGAAGGCTATAGGCTATATATCATCGTGCTACTACCCGAGGGAGCGGAGCAGTAATCGTAAATGTCCACAAATCGGGCAGACTTCCATACATTATTGTAAAACTTATTTTTATATTGGAAGTTTGAACGCAGGCGAGGCCTCGGGTACTGCTAGTATTGTATATATTGAGGTTATATTTATTATAACAGCTTTTTACCAACCAAGATTAACATTTTTTTAGTATATCAGATTTTTTTGAAAATCTTTAATCTATACAATTAATAATAAAATTGTAACTAAGCCAATTCTGTACAATATTTTTTGGAAAATCTTATTGAAATAGACATTATTATCGATACAAGATCGATACATTATTTATTATCGGTAGATTCTACAGTTTTTAGAAGTTTTGTATTCGCATCACGAGAAAAACCACTGGACAGATTTTCATGGAATTTGGTATGATGACAGAATTCTTACTGCGAGAGAATATCTCATCTCCGATAATACTAAACGTTAAAACGTAATTAGAGACGAACCCGAGCGGAGCGAGGGTGAGGATCGTTAGTCAAAAAATAAAATAAAGTCGCTTCTCTGTCTGTCCCTATATTATATGCTTATATCATTAAAACTACGCAACGGATTTCGATGCGGTTTTTTTAATAGTTAGAGTGATTCAAGAGGAATGTTTTAGTATATAATTTGTTAAGTTTTTGTATACATTGGCTAAAATATAACGATATTTGTTGGAAGTGTTGGAAAAAAATAAGCTGCCTGGGAGCTTTCAACGAAAACGCAGCCTTAAACCCTTTGAGATATAAGAAAATAATGTATGGTGGAACTGTATATTATCTTATATAGGTCTACAGAATAGTCCGAGATGGCATATTCTTATTTCTTAAGGCTAACATACTATATATCCATTTTAACGCAAAACGTACCTAGGGACGAACCCGAGCGAAGCGAGGGTGAGTCGCTTATCTAAATATAATTTACTAAAGATCTCTTACACTTATATTAGCACTTTATAAACAAAAGAAACCAAATTACAACATTAATATTAAATATAAACGTTTACCATACATTTGTTTATGTTAAAAAGAGCGTTTTAGGCTGTTAATGTTTAAAAAAAAATAACTTATGCCTCAATAGTCAACGCTAACCGGATTCTAAGTGATTCAACACATGCGTACAACAGGTGGTCGATTCGCACTCACACCACGTACCTTTCACAGATATACATAAACATTATA